AGTACCAAAACTGAGAAAGTCTTGGACAAATGCACAGAAAACCCCAGAAGCAGCTTGCCTGGAAGAATGGCGAATGGCCTGCCCAAGGCTCAGTTTTGGCACCAGCAAAACACATCTGCAGGGCAGGTACTGTCCTGAGGATGTGTTACAGGCTCTGAACCTATAGCCAGTATATGCTGCTGCTTCTCCCACAGGTCCAGGAACCAAGGAGTGGATGTGGGAGGGGCTCCTCGCAGTGTAGACACTAGCCAAGTGTCTGCTTCCCACCCCTGCAACATGGAGAGCCATTGGCTTGAAAGTCTTAGTCTTAGTCCCCAGGGAGGAAACCCTTCCCCAGAACATAGAACCAGAGCTCCATGGCATCAGAAGTTGAGACCAACACCTAGTTACCTTGGAATCTTCATGCTCCTGAGCCAGTGGGCAAAGAAGGGGGCCTTTACTGTCCAGGGCTTCCTCCTGATTACCAAGGAGTATCACTACATGTGGAGGGCAGGGAGGATGGGTCTAGAAGACCAGGGAGTCTCCAGGGCATCTCTTAGTACTTCCTGTCCAACAGCAACAAGCCAGAGACAGACCCTTTCCAGATAAAGCTTTGAACAATCCCACCAGGTAAAGAACCCAAGTAGATACAGACAGGGGACAAAGGAAGCCCAGAATGACTGCCGAGCACAGAAACTTCTAGTTGCCAACAGGTCTCAAGACTAGTTACAGAAATGAAAACTAGCTTCTATGGCACATATTCTCTCTTGCTTGGTGTCCGTAGATTTTCCCTTTTCTTTTCCCTATTTTTAAAACATTTTGGTAAACTTCTTAGTGTACATACAGAAAAGTACATAAATCACAAGTATATAGCCAGGAGTACACAAGTGAACACATCTGAGCAACAGCTACCCAGATCAAGAAACAGAACACAGACAGTATCCCAGACGTTCCCCCTGTGCCCCTCCAAGGCCTACCGCACCCAGAGCAACCACCACCCCATCCTAACACCTTATAGTCGTTTAGCCTATTTTGAAGTTTACATGCATGGACTCATACCATCTATTCTCTAACTTAGGGTCTGGCTTCTTTCACTCAACTCTATGTGGAGAAGGTTCATCTATTCTGTGCATTGTAGATGGTTCACGTTCATTGCTCTGAAGTTTCCTTTTGTGAAGATACAAGCATTTATTGATCTGGATATTTGGGTGGTTTCTGGTGTTTGGTTATTACCAAGTACTGCTCACACGTCTTTCAGTGAGATGTATATGCAGTTCTCTCAGCTATGTTCCTAGCAGTAAAATGCTGGCCATAGGGGTGCATATGCGCAGCTGAGTAATACCCCTGTTTTCCAAAGTGATTACATCAGTTCACGCTCACCCCCCTCCCCAGCCGGCCCCCAAGCAGCGTGTGTGAGAGCTTTGCTTTCTCCACACCCTTCAGCAATGCTCAGGATTCTGCCTTTTTCATTTTAGCCTTTCTGATGGGTGAGTGGTGGTGTGCACTGCAGCTTCCCCTTCCTTCCCTCCCTCCCTCCCTCTCTGTCTCCCTCCTTCCCCTCTTTGACAGCTTTATTGAGATACAATGTATCCATTTGAAGTGTACAGTTCAATGAGTTTTAACATATTCACAAAGTTGTGCAACCATCACCACAATCAATTCTAGAACGTTTTCATCATCCTCAGAAGAATCCCCTTACGTTTTAGCTATCACCCCGACACCCCATTTGGCCCAAGACCCTGGCAACTGCTATGTAGTCTTTTGCGGCTGGCTTCTTTCAGTTGGCACAATGCCTTCGAGGTTCATCCATGTTGTAGCATGCATCAGTACTTCCTTTTTATGGTCAAATAATATTCTATCGTATGGATGTCCCACATTTCATTTATCCATTCACCAGTTGAAAGATATATGAGTTTTTGTGTGAACTTCTATTTTCATTTCTCTTGGGTCTATACCTAGGAGTGGAATTGCTAAGCTATATGGTAGCCATGTTTCACTTTTGAGGGATTTTCAGATTGCTGTCCTAAGCTCATCATTTAATATTCTTATGTCGAGTATACTGTATTCTCTGTAATCTCTGTAATCTCACCATCATTTGTTAATAATACTTGTCTTTTTTATTATAGCCATTCTAATACATGGGAAGTGGTATCTCATTGTGATTTTGATGTATTGTATTTTAAATGGTGTTTCCTTGATGACTAATGAGGTTGAGCACCTCATGTGTTTATCAGCAACTAGAACCTGTCTTTTGTGAAATGCCCACTTAAACTTTTAATCATTCTTTGGGGTGAGGAGGTTCTGGGCCATCTGCCATCATCTTATTGATTTCTAGGAGCTCTTTATATATTCTAGATATGAGTCTTTTGTGTGTTGCAAATATCTTCTCCTGGTTATAGCTTGCCTTTTCACTCTCTTAATGGAATATTTTGAATGTAAATTCTTAATTTTAATTTTCAATTAATTTCACTTTTCTTCTTCCTCTCTTCCTCATTCTCCTCTTCCTCCTTTTTCCTCTTTGTCTGTATCTGCCTTTTTGTAATCTCTTTAGGGAAGTCATAAGCTATCCCTACATTTTTGTAGACATCAGTTTTACCATAATGGTTGAGTGCAATGGCAACTGCCTGTCCGGAAGTCTAATCTTCAACAGCGCTCCCTCCCAAGCAACCATGGGTGCTAATTGAGTAATTGTAATGCCACGGATCACTAGGGGCCTGTTTTCACTGGCAATGAGCTCATTTTTGTATTCATGCTCAAACAGGTGAACAACCCCATCACAGGGACCCAACTGGGAGGGCTTGTTTCTTGAATCAGTACTGAATCAGTCTGGGTCCAGTCAGGAAAATAGAAACCATTTTAGATATTTCACACAGAGTGAATTCACATAGAGAACTGGTTACAGAGGTGTTGGAAGGATGCAAGAGTAAAAGGGAGAAAGAGGGACGGACAACTAAAGGAAGAAGGGGTGGTCCCTAGAGATAAGAAACACTAACACCTCTGGGCTAGAGCCCAGAGCTGGCATGAAATTTCTGCTGCCCCATGGGAGAAGCTGGTGTTGTGGGAGAACCTCGCACTTTGGGAAAGGCTGGTGCTATGGGAGAACCTGAGATAGCTGACTCTAGAATGGGGCATATTCTCCTCCAGGATTGTAATTCTTTTTTTTTTTTTAAGATTTTTTTAAAAGTGATCTCTACACCCAACATGGGGCTCAAACCCACCATCCCAAGATCAAGAGTCATGCCAGTCAGCTGGCCCTGGGACTGCAACTTCTGATAAAGATGCTCCCTCTCCCAGAGCTGCTGAGCTCTATAATCACTCAGTCCCTGCTGCTACAGCTGCCATCCTACCAGAGCAGACACTCCCTCCCTCCTGCCTTCGGAGCTCCCGCTCTGCCTCTTATGTTAGACCCTATATAGGACCTAACAATGAGACAGTGGGCACAGAGCCTGGGAAATGCAGATCACTTGGGAACCCCAGAGCAGCACTCAAGAAGGTGGCGTGGGCTGGGACCACAGGCACCCACCAGCACAGTCCACCTGGCTCTAGCCCCACTGGCCCGCTTTCAGCTGCGCTGCTGGGACCTCTTCTCGGCTGCCTCCAGCTCACCCCTCATGGGTGGTTCACAGGCCGCCTTCTGGGGGAGGCTTTGCTGAACCCACAGGTGCTACACTGTCTTGGGCTGCTGGTTTCTGCACATCTTCTTCTCTAGGGGTGAGTTTCCTGAGAGCAGACAGTGTATCTGATTTTGTCCCAGGTCATGAACCCAGTGTATATTCAATGCATGAGTGAATGAAGAATGAAGGAGTGACAAGCCTGCTCTTGGGTAAACTGCAAAGAGTAGGTTGAAGGGCTTTTCTCTCTGGACATACCCTTTCCATGCTTCCAAGATCCTGGAGTCCATTATTGGACACTGTCCCCCAGTGTCCTTCATGTCTGGCCCCCACCCCTGGTGTTTAAGGATACGTAATTGGCACCATGTTGTCAGGGGCACATTCCCGAACCTTGTGGCATAACACAGCTGCCTATTTATAGCCAAGGGTTTACGGAAAAATTGTTATGTGTTTGGACAAATTTGGAAGTTTTGGGTTGAAGCAGATTAAACATGATTCTTTACCATAGCACTTCTCAGATCCTTAATTCGCTAACGTGACAGTCCAGGAAGAGGACGTATCAGCCAAGTTCCCCAAACTTATATGGCCACAAAGGTCTCATTTAGGAACACCAAGCAGAGTTTGGTAATTGGTAAAATAATATTTTAAATATATTTAATTGATCTATCTTTGAATAGGCAGCATACACACACACATAGTACAAAATTCAATAGACAAACAGGTGTTCAGGAAAAAGGTATCTTGCTTTCCCACCTGCCCTCCTGTTCTGCAACCACTGTCAGAGACTTCATGGGTTTCCTCCCAGAATGAGGCATGGCTAGTCACCCAACGAGGGGGGTATCCAAGAGGGCTGTGGGTGTCCCAGCTGTCCCCCACCACTCCCATCACTGACAAGGAGCCTGCTGTGGTGGCTACCGCTGTTTTGCTCTGTCCAGGCTGGACACACATGGCACTTCTTCACCTGGATTTCCAGAACCTGCTGGTGTTTCCCTGTGCTCTGCGACCGGAGGGTCTTGTGCCTCTTGTCAGTAAGTCAGAGAGAACAACGTGGCTCCCCTAGGCATGGCTTCCTCTTGTCCACGTCTCAGTGCAGCCATTTGGAATGACCTCGGGGACGGAAAATATCAGGAACAGCCTTAGGCTATGGCTTTGAGTAGCCTTGGGATCTCTTTGTCCTTTGGAAGAAGGAAGGAGGAGTTTTTTGGTAGATAACCCAAGGATTACTTGAGATGTAGCATGTTAACCGGGAGACCCACTCCACATTCTCCCTTCTTGATGGAACAGACTTTCCCTGAAGGGGGTGGGAGGGACACCAAGCAGATAATGACAGAAGATGATAAGGAAGAGGGGGGGATGGAACGGGTGTATTAGTTCTGTGTTGCTGCATAACCAATCAGAGCCAAGCCTGGCTGCTTAAACCAACACACATTTATTATCTCCTACAGTTTCCAGGGTCAGAAATCTGGGTGGTTCCAATTCCATTTCTTTCCAAGATGTGGTCAAGATGTCAACCAGGGTTGCAGCCATGAGAAGGCTTGACTGGGGCCGGAGGTCTGCTGCCAAGGTTACTCATGTGATTGTTGACCGGAGGCCTCAGCTGAGTATACTTCTCCATGGGGCTGTCGAGGGTCTTCCTGACATGGCATGCAGCTGGCTTCCTCCAGAGCGAGTGATCCAAGAGAGACTAAGCAAGGAGGGAGCCACAGTGCTTTCTGTGACCTTGTCTCCAGAATCATACACAGTCCCTTCTGCTACATTCCATTTGTTAGCAGTGGGTTGCTAAGCACAGTCCACACTCAAGGAGAAGGGATTCAGGCTCTGCAGTCTAATGGGAAGAATAGCAAAGAATTTGTGGACATATTTTAATTATGTTTTCAGTGGGGACAGAGGACTAAGCATGGGGCCAAGGAACAGCTGGTAGCTCCTGGTCCATTACTAATAATCCCTGTCATCTTGGCAAGTCACTTACTTTCTGGGCTTCAGTCTCTCCCAGGCTATTTGGAGATGGTGACATCATATTCTGTTGGAGGGCCAGTGGCTCAACATGACAGGGAGGCAGAGAGCAACAGAGTCAAGGGTGTGGGCTTTGGGATCAAGTGCCTGCTGCACCACTTCCTCTCTCTCTGAGCCTCGGTTTTCCCATCTGCATCATTACCTGCCTCCCAGAGGGGTGGTGAAATGAACAGAGGCATGCATGTGCAGAAAGCTGGGCCCAGCTGAGCCTAAACTGAGCAAGTCTAGAGGCATCTATTTGCTGGTGAAGCCAAGAGGTGTGAGAAGGCTCTGCATATAATCCAACCAATGAAGAACAAGCTGCAGGAAAAAGTTCCTACCCTCCATCACCCGCGGGTTCTGTGACCCATATGAAGCTGACCTCTACCTTCATTGTTTTCCCCAGCTGGGCTACATTCTGGGGTCATGACCAAGATTTTGCATCTGGAGGAAGTATTCAGTTGCTCCTGTGATTAAAACTATCCCCCAGATGAAAGCCAAGAGCATCCTTCATTCATCATGTTCTCCACTGCTTGGTGTTACATGTTATGTGGGCACATGGTCTGACTCAAGCCCTGGTGGCTTAGGGACCACGGAAGCCACATTTAGAGAGCACATGGAAACCCCCCATGTGCTCACCTTTGGGGAGAATGCCCAGCTCAGGGACTGCATGCCCCAGCCTGAGAATCAACGTTCTGTGGCTTTATATGAAGTCTGAAAAACTTGCTAATAAAATACCAACTGGAAATCAATTGTTAGCCCAGCTTTACTGGGCACCCAATTTTCTAAGGCCTTAGAATTTTTTCTGGAAGAGGAGTGGATGTTAGCAGCAAGAAGTTCTGCCAGGGGCTAGAAAGATTCTTGCTTCTCTGACAGCCAGCTCTTGGTCTGGAGGCTTTCTCTGAAGTGGTTTTGGAAACACCGGGTGTGGGTTCATTACTGCTGGAGACTAGAAACATGTACAAGAAGCTTCCCTTAAGGATGCACGATTGTGCTCACAGCTCCTTGGGAGAATTCCCACCAGACAGGCTGGACTCTCTCTGAACCTCCCAGGACCTGAGTTTACCTTCTCATGGGGAACGGTTGGCTTGAAAGTATGGTCTGTCCATTGCGCTAAGGCAGATACTCCAAGGTCTGTGTGACCCCTCCCTGACCAAGCAGCACACCTCCTGTGAGGGAGAACACAGGACAGCCTGAAAATTCCTCTTTTCTTTGGAAGCAGGCCATTTTGCTTTTACTGTTTTTAAAGCAGAATAGAGAGAAACCCACATCTCAGGGCCCCACTGAACCCAAGGCTTGAAGTTGTCTGTCACCAAGGGGCAGAAGCTCTGCCCAGAAGAAGCAGAGAGAGGTGGGACACTCCTCTCTCTTAGGACCCCGAGGCAGGGTGTGGGTGTAGGTGGACCCTCTGCCAGTTGGCCCCAGGCTGCATGAGTGGCCCTGGTCCTGAGCATGGGATGGAGCTGAGGGTTAGAGTCCCACCTTCAAGCAGAAGGTAGGACAGCGTGACCTGGATCTAGGTGGTATTGGCACACCGGTGGTTACAGGAAAATAGGGAAAGCCAGAGCCTGATGCCTGCCTCTTGGCATTCTCTGAGCTCTGTCTCACTGGATGAGCAGAGGAACCCACTTTGATATGGCAGACCCAGGAGCCCTCCTGCAGGGAGCTACAGGGGGTAAAAGGTTGGCCAGAATCATAGGTAAAGAAGCACTGGCATCCAAATGAGACCTGCTGGGATCAGCATCCCAACCACAGAGCCCCCATGTGGGGCTGGAGAAGGGAGGAGAATGCTGGGCTCTGTCAGATGTCAGAACCACAGCCATTCAGGGGGTGGGCCGGCCACGTAAGACCTTCCACCAGGGGGCAGAAGAGCAAAGCTGAAAGATTGATGCACCATTGGACCAAGTCCTTACAAGACCAATTTAGGGCCAGGAAACTTCAAACACCTTGGGTTGCAGGGCCTGATGGTACTATGGGAGAACAAATCAGAGCTGGGAAGAAGAAGAGAGCATCTGCTGGCCCTTTGGAACAAATCAAATATGGCAACAGAGCTCAGAGCCAGCAATGCAGGCTTGGGGTGGGGAGCAAAGAGCCTGCAGGTTTTCCTTGGTTTCTTAATATCAAACCCCTCACGTGGGAGGGCAGGAACCATACACCCAACAGAGGCCTCCCAGCAGCCAGGGGACTGTGGTGGAGACTGCATGTCCTAATTTCCTTCTGTCCTGGCTGGTAGATCACGGAGCAGAGAGCTGTGATTGCTTTACCAGATCTAGAATTCTGTAGACTCCAACATGATTGGGGCAAACTGAAGGATCACCCCTGACATGCCACGACTTGGGGAAGGGTGGTTTAGACAGCTTTGGTTGTTGTACCAGTTATCTCTTGCTGCATAACAAACCAACCCAAAGCAGTGGCATAAAATAAAAAATATCAGGTATTTTGCTACTGAATCTGGGAGTGGATTACGCTCAGCCAGGCATTCTGAGGCTTCTGCTGATGACTGCCTGTGTGAACACCAAATGTCCTAGTTTTTCTAAACAGGCTAGAAAAACAATTTTTAAAAATTTAAAATCTAATTTTTTTTAAGATTTTTTTATTTATTCATTTGAGAGAGAGAATGGGAGAGAGAGCACGAGAGGGGGGAGGGTCAGAGGGAGAAGCAGAC